CATTGGTTTTAAGGAGCAATTCGAGATGAGAAAAATGCAACATCTCATTAGCAATAGAACGGGAAGATGAACACTTTCGTACATGAATTCCACTCGTGGTAACAATCTCTTAGGATGGTATGATCGTTACCAACTTTCTCTACTGGCCGACTTTTTCCTCTCTTTACTACTTCGTATCCGCCAATGATCCTCGAATGAATGCTTTCGCTCAAAACCAATACTTTTCTTATCCTCTCAGTGTAAAATGTTCAAGACATTGTGCGTAATTAAATGAAACAATGAAACAATGATTCCTCTTTTTCATCTAATTTAATCTAATTTTTTGAAATATTTATGAATAATTGATTTATTATTTTATTTATTTACTTGACTTAAAGAAAGAACAAATGATTCTATGGAATCTAATAGAAACATTATTTTGCAATAAAGAGAAAAAAAATATATATATATATATAAAACAAACTTTTATTATTCGAAAAACGTTTTATTTCAAAGACTCTTTCAAATAATAAAAAAGAAAATATATTCTAAATTTCTAAAGTTTCACCGATCATAGTTTCAATACAGTTCCATAAAAGAAACTCGAAGAAAGTAGAAATAGGGGATGTTTTGATGTGATTTCCGAAATTTGAATTCTATTCACCCATCGTGAAGATGGAAAGTTCCAACATTAAACTTTGAACCGACTATATATGTATGCATATCATTGCCACTCGTGAAAAACTTATTTTTTCAAACTTTACAAGATGCACGTGTATATCCTATTCGGGATGAAAGGAAAAAATAAAAATTTTTTGACTTCTTTCTAATATTCAGTTTTAACAATAACTTATTTAAAAAAGATTTTTAACATTTTTCAAATACGCGAAAAGTAAATTAATCACATATATGATCATTTCTAAATGTCAAAACACAAAAATTGATATATAAAAGTGTTAATTGAAGCTTATACATTAAATTATATATACTTAAATTTACGTTAAATGAAGAAAAGTGAAAACAGATCAAGATAGCTACGCGAGAAAGATAAAGCTGTCTTTAACAAGACCATTTTATCTTATATATAAAAAAATTAATTTTTCCAATGAATTTTTTAATTTTCTTCTTTTTAATTTTCTAATTTTTCCATTCAAAAATATTTGAATCCAATTGCGGGATCTCATTTGCAATTAATTATTAACAATTATCAGAATAATTATGGAAATTAAGATTGAAGAATAATATGTACAATTAGAAAAATATTTTTCCCGTTTAATAGAAGAAAATTTAAATCGCAAAAGAGAAAAGAAAATAGATAATTTGAAATAGAATAATTTTTTTTTTTTTATTAAAATTCTTTATTTTCTGTGTTTCGTAGCATTCTTCTAAATGATAATTGAACGTAACTTAATGGAAAATTCGCGGTGTATCAAGGAGAAAAGGACAAAGACAGGAGGAAGAGAGAAAAGTATACTAGAAATATCGAAATATCGTTCACTTAAATCGGCAAAATAGTACGTACATATGTGGCGGTGTACTTTGTTTCTCGTTCCTTTTAAGACACGTGAAATCATCTTAAGATTATAGATTAACGACCGAATGAAGCAAACCGATCGATCAACCGATTCGACCGATGTTTGGTTCATTAATTGGATAAAAGTAGAGGCAGATACAGTGGATAGGGGTAAAGTCGTATTTATAAGTTTTTATATCCAAAGAACGTCGTTCGCATGGAAAGTCATCGACGAATATTCATTAAAGGCATTAAAGGAATTTTAAAAAAAAAAAAAAAAAAAAAAGAAGAAAATAAAATCTCGATGCCATTCTCGATACGAACAACGCTCTTTCTCGTTAAAGCCTTTCTCAAAAAGTATTACAATGCTCGTGAATTAAGTGAGTTATATATATAATAAACGGTACAGAAGATCTATATATATTCATAACCGGTGATTGAATAATAAGTCAAAAACAACAGTTACAACAAAATTATAATGATCATTATCAACCGTGGCGATTAGTCGCATGATATGAACGATTCCTTCGTGTAATTTAAATGCATAATTTATAGCAACAATAGCTGTTTAATCCTTATTTGATTATACGTCCCATATAAAGAGACGTATACATTGTACAATCTCGTGCAATATTCAGTTTGTAAGACCATCTGTTTCTTTCATTAGGAAATATTCCATAATATGAAGAAAAGAAAAAAAGTATAGAAGAGTGAAGGATACCACGTTCAGAACGGCATTGGAATTGTTCGAAAGCAAAGGAGAACTTAAGAAAATCTAATAACAAATTCTACTATTTTTGCCACAAATACATTTGAAAACTAGGTATATTTACGTTCGTAAATCCTGTTATTTTTTTTTTTTTTTAATCAGGAATACCGCTTTATATTTTATTTTAAATTAAGTGAAAAAAATATATTTAATACGATACAGGCCGATCATTTGTGTTGCGTTACTCGTTAATATTGGATAATATAAAATAAAATATTATATTAACAACAATAATTCTTGATGAAAATGGAAGAAGGAACGCAAAAAGAATTTTAAGCAGTCTTCGAATCGAGAGTTCATTGTAAAATCATTGTGAAAAGTTAAAAATCCATTAAGCATATCGCAAATACAAAAATTACACTCGTTACCTAAAAAGAAAATTCCTTATTTTAATTGATTCGATAAACATTGAATTTTTTTTTTTTTTTTTCTGTACCTTCGTTTAAATTTGTAGATACTCGCCTTTTTTTTCTTTTGCATAAGTATTTACCAAAGGACATTCATCTTCGATCAAAGAAAAACAATATATTTCTTTTTTGAAAATCATATTATAATATCGATGCAAGAGTGAGGAGAATTTTGTCAAATAACAAAAATCCAAACTCAAAAAAAAATATATGTATATATTTTTTTTTATCTTTTATAAAGTTCTCACATATTAATTATTATCCATATTTTATGATTTTGTAAATCATATTATCGTTTCGATCGAATATTTTTACAAAACATAAAATAAAGGAATTAAAACTTTGATTTGAAAATTCGTAGAATAGTTTTATTGAATATGCATGTATTTTATTTAATATTATTATCAATATTAATTGGATAAAAAATACTTGTTTTATACCAGTGCTTTTTTTTTTTTTTTTTTTTTTTACAAAAATTCCCATTACTTTTGCATCTATGAAGGTCTTCGTTTTATTTAACAGCTATGAGAAATTAGCATCGATTTGATATAAACCATTAAATATAATCTGCTTTCGATTGATCTTATTATGTCAATATTTCATTAGCACTTTTTTTTTCTTCTTTTTAAATTTTTTAGAACGTCGAATGAATTAAAAAGAAGAGATAATAATAATCGTTGTTATAATAATAATAAGAAAAAACGTAAGAACGTTTAATTTTTAAAAACGGTACTACTAACGATATTTGTAGCAAAAATATACAGGCCACGTGGCTGCTTACAATATACGCTTCGCAAATTCTTAAAAGGAAAGAAAACTTAACAAACGCGAGAGAAATGAAATTATTTTTCTTTTTTTATGTTTTTTCGACAAAGAACATAACGGTTAACGTCGTCAAAACAACCATCACTCAATGTCAGTCAGGCGCGGCTGTACAAATCATTGATATCCACTGACAATGAGTTCATTGATTGTACACCTATACTTAAGAATCTAAATTTTATTACGAAATTGCTCGCACGAATTTCACAAACAATTTTTCTTTTTTTTCTTTTTCCTTTAATTACACCACGAAAAAAGAAACTATTGACCCATGCTACTCCGCTCGATTATTCCAATAATAATTATATTTATGGATGCATCGTACATGCGTTATTGCCAATAACATATGTACCGCTTCATCTTCGTACTGTTGTTTCCTGAACAACCTCACAGAGATATACTGAGATGCATATTATTTCCCATTCGGTGTGTCAAGTCAAGATATTACTTATAATATTAAATACATGATGAGCTAAAATATATTATTCATTCAAGTTCTTCGATTTTTCAACTTTTCTGACTTTTCCGAGACACAACAGCGCAGTGATCGAACGAATGTTTCGCCGTTCAAATGTATTTTGCCGACTGATTGATAAAAATTTGCATATATACAACGTACGAAGATGAAACACAAGGAACGGAATATGTATATTTATATACACGAATCGGGGAGCATGTGTTATGAATGCATAATATGCATACATATCAATGTGTGTTTATATAATATGAAATGTGTTTTACATGTGCACGTATTTTCGTTGAATGTAATTGTATATGTGTATGTATATATGTATGTATGTATGTATGTATGTATATATGTATATATGTATGTATGTATGTATGTATGTATGTATGTATGTATATGTATGTATATGTATGTATATGTATGTATATGTATGTATGTGTATGTATGTATGTATGTATGTATGTATGTATGTATGTATGTATGTATGTATGTATGTATGTATGTATGTATGTATGTATGTATGCATGCATGTATGTATGTATGTATGTATGTATGTATGTATCTATGTATGTATGTATGTATGTATGTATGCATGTATGCATGCATGCATGTATGTATGTATGTATGTATGTATGTATGTATGCATGCATGTATGTATGTATGTATGTATGTATGTATGTATGTATGTATGTATGTATGTACGAAACATGTCGTATAGACGTTCTGGGAGTGGAATTAAGATATCTCGAGGATATGAAAGCAATCATTTTAAAAATGTAGAAATTCGCTTGTTAATAAACATATACGCAATAATTTGGCCATCGATTTTGCCATACAGCGACGATAATTTATGACTACTATCATAACTAGGGATGAAGTCATTGTGAAAAAGAACCGGAAGTCCATAATTGTTGTTTTTTTTTATAGACAAGGGAACGATGCTTATTCAGTTAGAAGAAAATGTTTTCACGAAGAAAGACGCACGAGGATAGCATAGTCTCATAAATTTCAAATACATGTGCACAATAATACATGTGTATATAATTTTTTTTTTCTTAAAAAGCGGTAATTCTTTTTCGCGATCCTAATGGTGCCTTTAATGTACGCGTGTTCACTTGTTACGTCTCATCATTTCCTTTAACTGGCCAGTGTAAACTCTACTGTGGCACAAAGAAATTTTAACGATTTCACGTTCGCGCAATTTTACGTTCAATACGTCATGCAAATAGAGCTTCGATTGCAAATAAATGTCACGATATATATTTATGTATATATATATATATGTATATAGAATACCACTAAAAGTTCGCTTGAGCGTACGCCCAACATACAGACCAAACTTTCATATCAATCTCAAGCACATCAACCGCTTTGTAAATGATATAACAAAAGTGAGACATTAAACGAGACACACAACCAAATCTTAATTCCTTATTATTTTGTGCATTTGTATTCTCCAATTTAAGAAAAAAAAGAAAAATGTTTAAAGAATGTTATTTTCAAAAAAAAAAATTGACATATGAACGTGTATATACATCTATACAATTCTTATTTTAGTTAGTTATATTAAGGAAATACATATTAACTAGTATTGCTATATTTCTTTATTTATAAGAATGATTGAAAATTAAATTAAAATAAATTGTAAAAAATCTTCTTTTCGAATGAAATTAATAATGTCTAATTAAATATGAATAATTAAGAAATATATAGAGCAACGAAATGCATTGAAATATATACATCTATTGTTTTAATATTTAATAAGAAAAAATATATTATATATTTTCTTTAATACAAAAAAAATTTACGATCTTATAATTCTGAAAAATTAAATCATTAATGAAGTTTTGGTTTTTGTAATACATGGAATTTTAAAGAAAAAATTACAATTAACAGTATATCTTTTAAAGTAATATATGTGATATTAATATTTTCCAAATTGTGTTTTATTTCAGATTGTATTTCCAAATGTGATGATTTAGTTGTGTGCTCGTTCACATTGAATTATATTTATTAATAAATGAAGTATCGAATAAATACAAAAGGTAACAGCAAAACTCGCTTTACCCCCAGAAACATCGCTATTCTTACATTAGATTCGTTTACTGTTTACTTTTAACAAATATATCCAAACAACTTACTTATGAATTGCACAATGAATAAAAGAATTAAAATACAATTAGATAGAATGGAACAAATGAAAGCTCACAATGATAAAAAAAAAAACAACTTAGAAAAATTGTCAATATAACTATCTAAGTTGCTAACCATCCTGTTCCTTCTATTGAAAGAAAGGAAGCACGGATTGCGCAAACGCATTTCACAGAATGTTTACACTGTTTCGTACGTACGTACAACATGTGTACTCACAAAAGAGAACTAAGATTAATATTATTTGGAATAATTAAGATTCTTAGTAATTCCGAACGTAAGAATCAATTCCAGATAAAAATGATTATATCTCACAAATGCGATTGGCGATCTAATCACTAATTACTGAAAAATCTATGCATACAGAATCAAACACTTCACTGTTTGCGCGGCAGCCTTTTCAGCCATCAAAGGAATTACGCGTTAGATTAATTCAGTATCTTAAGTTACCTAGTTAATGTTGTGTTTTGTGTATCAAATCATTATCGTAACAATTATTTGTTGGGCACACACCGAATTAAAGTCTCAGCTGTAAGCACGCGACAAACTTTTCTTTCTCCGTGATTCATGTTCATTAGCCATCCTCTTTTGGAGGGGTAAACCAACCTATAAGAATATTTAAATATGTAATTATTATCTGCAACCTTCCAAAAACAAACTTCTATATTCAATGTAATTCTGTAAACTGAATTTTTTATAGAAACAAACAAAAATACGTTATGTTATAAACTAAAAATATACTTAATAAAAGATTTTTTTATTCAGCAGATTTATATAAGATTGTAAAAAGTAAATAATATATAAATATAAACATAATTTTAAAAAAAATTTACTTTTTCTCAAACTATTTTAATGATGAAAAAAAAACAAACAAACAATAAAAAAATATTAACAATAAAAAGATGTTAATATATTTGTAAGGTACTCTGATTTTGGAGGATCGATTCTAGGAACCAAAATAAACATAAAAGTTATCATACAACAATGTTGATTAAAATTTATTTATTAAGCTAAGCAATTTAAATTTGCATTAGATGAAATAAAATTGAAACAAAATAAACGAGATAAATTAAGACAACAATAAATAGCAAATGAAGTGAAATGGATAAAGTTGTCTCATCTTGTTTCTGTCTTCACTTCATCTAATATGAACTTAAATTACTTAAAAAATAACTTAATAAATAAACTTCAACATATGTTTTTGTAACTTTGATGTTTATTATTAGATTATCTAGAGATTTCATAAATATATTAACGCTTTATATATTTCAATATATATTCCTCATTATTTAAATAATGAGAGTCATTAAAAATATTATCTTTTCATTATTCATTACTTTTCCCTTGAACATTTTTTTTATATACATAAAATCTTAACTTAATAAAATAAGAAATAAAATTAATTTCTTACCATTTTTTTCGTGTATTTGTACAAGAGATTTAAACGACTGTTGTGCACGTGCTAGACTATATTGACCTTGCCCACACACTTTGCTAGCACTACCAGGTCCTTGAAATTGTATGCGTGCTTTTCCCTTCACTAAGGTTGCTGAAATTTGCATGATGACTGCTTCTACTGTGTAGGCTGAACTCCAACCTTGTTTTGTTAGAAGTTCCATGCAAATAGCGCCTCCTATAAGAACGTAACCACCAGAGATCATGGGATGCACAACTCTAACAAAGGGAGGTTCGAATGGATAAGTTTCCTGCAATCATAAAAATAAAGAAAATTTTTTTTCAATCTAAAAATTGATACATAAAAGAATATTGATGTTATGTGAATTAATAAAATTTTCAAAGTATTTACCAATCTATATTAATATTATATATAATTAAAATATATTTAAGATAATAAACATATTCTTAAAAGTGATGATATATTAATTATCTAAAGTACAACTAGAATCAATAATTTTGATTTATATAAAAATTTATATAAAAACATTTTATGATATTTCTTAATTATGAATTAAGAACATACCTTAAAAAGCATGTTAAGAAGAATACTGTCTTTGCCTTCCTTTTCTTTTAGAAGTATGAGATCGCTGTGTAAAGGTGAATCAGGATCAACACACATCAGCCTGACATTCCATTCATACAAACTGTCATTTACTAATTCTATGCTGTACATTCCTATAAATTTATAAATATATTAATAAATTTAAGTATTTCTATATCATTAAAACATCTTAATAAAATTATAAATTTGAAATAAAAAATATCATACCTTTTTTGAAACTGTCACTTCGATAAATATCACGCAATTCTTTCATAAGTCTATCTGTGGCTTGCACACTGCCACAAACAGATCCTTTTAAGTAATCTTGTCTTTGATTTTGTCTCAACCTTTCTAATGTTGCAAGATGTTCCAATTCTATTTCTTCACCCTTAAAAATATAGAATAAATAATTAAACACAAATATAATTCATATATAGAAATAATTTTTGTATTCAAATATTGTTATTTACCTTACTCTTTGCATTCGCATCTCCTTCATCCATATCTAAATGAAGATCTTCTTCTGCATCACTTTCTTCATCATCCTCAATATCTTCAGCATCTTCAGCTTCCATCCTTTGTGCTGTAGCTTCATTTGATCCTCCTAAACGTAATGGATCCAAAGCTGTCCTTAACCGTTCAACATCAGGTGGTTCAGGTAATGAATGGAGTCTACATAATTCTTTCAAGAGAATCCCAACTTGGTTAATAACATGGTTGTCACGGCCTGTAGTAGTACTTAAAATTTGTACCGCATTTGTAACACTTGTTTCTTCTGATTCTGCAAACCATACTGGTGGTGTAGAAGGATAGGTTTCCTGTAACATTCAAAAATTATATAATCATTTTAATCTACATAAAGTAAAATAAGTATATATGTAAATAATTAAATAATTTTAATAATTATTTTTAAGTTAATTATTATATTATATATAATAATATAAATAACTGTTTATTACTTCAACATTTGAAATTTAAACTTTTGAAAAAAGTTTTTAAACTCTATTTTAAAAAAGGTAAAAAATGAAAAAAATAAATAGAGAAAAATTTCTAAAAACAATTATAGAAAATCTTTATTTGTGTAATAAAAAATTAAAATTCATTTATTATTTTAAACAAAAACTTAATAAATAAAATTTTACATAAATATAAATCTATAAATATAATGAAGTATTCACATATAAATTTAAATGATAAAAAAGATAATTATTTATTTTTAAATATAAATAAAAAATATATATACATCTATGATAATTTAAAGAAATGAGAATTATTAACAAAAATTTATTATTAAAAAAAGGATTCTTTATTCAATGTATAATATATAATTAATAATAGAAAAATAACTAATAGAAAAAGAACAAAAAAAATTTAAGAAGTTTAAAAAAGAAAAAAATTTTTTGAGGTCAAAAAAATATACAAAAATTCTTAAATTATAAAATAATTATTACATAAATATAAAAATAAATGGATATATAATTCTATAATAAATTCTATAATAATTCGAATAATAAAAAATTACATTAAATGATCATTATATAGCGAATATTTATCATGAACACATATACGATATTTAAATATGGATTTATCGGCAATTGCAGTTAGCTCAGCGTCAGTGCTACGACCATACATATGCATAACAGGAATCATAAATTAATTAGCAGTATTAAACCGTATTTGCGTTATGAGGTAAAAATAGACAAAAATTGTTTATTTTTTAATCAATAAATAAATAAGATAGAAATAATAATGTTTTTCATTAATACTTTTGAATTAAATTTTTATGTTTAAGTTGTGTTCCGACATAAAAAGAAAAACAAATTTAAATATCTTTTATCAAATCCAAAACATAATTAAAATAAAGCAATTTTAGTTACAATTAACTTCTATTAAGAAAAACATTATTATAATAATTTCAACTTATAATTAAAATTTTCATAATGATATTTCTAATAAAAGAAACATAGAACGCAAATATTTTAAATACACGTGATTACGCTTGATGATTTATTAAATATACAATTTAATAATAAACTTTTAGTTTGAATTTTCCGAAATTATTCAATATAAATTAATGAACTCAATTCTAAATAATATTATGCAATATAGAATAAACAATTATTTATTTTTAGCATTTAGATATTAAATAAAATTTCAAGATATTTAATAAAAAATTAAAGATAATTTCGTAATGAAGCAAGCGACAATGGCAACGGTAAGAAGAACGCAAATGGATATGCTCATTGTTATCTAATTTATCTATAAATATTATCTAGTATACATTAAATTAGTAAGTAGTTTGATTTTATGCAATTGTGATATAATTGTCTCAACAATAATAATTGTAAATTTATAAGATTTTTTTTTTCAAATATAAACGAATAAAGAACAGATACCATTATGAGGGGCTTACCCTCTATTTGTGACATACATTGACCTCTACCGCAATATTAATTCGTCTGAAAATCTCCACGGAAACTGACTGATTGAGGCGAGAAAGAATCGATCGTAACTACAACAAAATGTACAAGGCAACAAGAAAAAATAGATAGGAAATACGGATAAAAAGGACACGGTATACGTGCTCCCGGGCATGGCTCTTGTCAAAAGCCCCAAATAACAACATGAGTGTTATTGTTTCTTTGTCCGGTCGCAGACAGCAATGAAATTTAATATGGTTCCATATAAACAGAAAAATACTGTCGATAGTTCCGTATCAATTTACTATTTTAAATTGTATCCATGCTTGTTACACTTACTGTAATATTGGCGTGTATTTCGTATTTCTTCCCATTTTTACCGACGAATCTGCAGCTGAGTTCGTCCACACTCGCAGACATTATCTGAAATCTCTCATGGCTCTTAGGGAAGACGGACTCAAGAGTTTTAATCTCCTGCTTAAGGGTGTTCAAACAAGCCATTTGGGGGAGCAAACGAAAGTGCTAGACCCCAAATTTTTCGGCGATGCTTGTTCAAAAAGTACAGCAACCCGAAAGAAACACGACGTACCCGATGACTACCCGACAAAATGGCGACCGCAACTGACTACTTCGGCCAATCTCGTGTAATTTCGTTTGCTTTCGTCATAGATGTCAGCACTGAACCTTTCAAATACTTATGACGTTCTTCCGGTACAGCTGAGTGTCGTTTAACGCGTTGCGGCATTTAAAAGAAAATTCCATAGTTAAAAAATTGTTTTTCTTAACATTAAAAATTTCAAACTTAATAAACCAACTTTTTTTTATTTTCGAATATATCTGATATTACATTATCTCTTAAATTACAACATTTTAAGTTTGAAATAATATAAAGTCTGTAAAAACAGAAAATACTTATTAATTTTTTTTATATTTAAAATTTAATAGCATTTAACACTTGAGCGTAATATTATATTGTAAGTTTTAAAATTAATACTGTAATTTGGACTAAAAAACAATTAAGAACACACCGCACGCTAATTAACATTTAGATCTAGAAACTTAAAATAGATACTTTGATTTATATGTTTTTTATTGTTTGTATGAATAAATCTATTATATTATAATATTGATATATTTTAAATAGTAGCATATTTTCTTTTCAATCAAATTAATTTATTTAATGTAAAATAATTAACACTTATTAATTATATCATGAATTTATTTGAAATGTCTAGTATATCTAATTCTTATGATTTATATGTACAGATGATAGTGTGATAAAATATTATACACGTATATTAACATGTTATCAAATAAATGCTCTAATCTAACATACTAAAAATTAAATTCTAATTTTTAGACTGGGTCCACTAATTTCTGCACATTTTTTTCTATTTCAGAGTATTAGATGATATATTTTATACATTTTTTTTTGGAGTAACACTGTGTAATTAATAATCTACATATATTAAAATTTTTATTGAAATAATTCAAGAAATTCTTCCAATTTAAGTATTTTTTTATTAATCAATTTATATTTATGTAATCTATAATATAATACACTTTTTTTATTGTTCTTTTTTGCACTTATCTGTACAAACATAAAAACTATAATATTATAATTTACAATAACACATGTGTAATGCAAAAAATAAAATAATACAATTAATATTATTAACATTTTATTTAATATATTAAATACAATATCTACAATGTCTTATATACACATGTGCTTGAAATTAAGATTTAAATGATGATATAAACGTTTATATTTTTTTTTTAAATTTCTTTATGAAAATATAAAAATGAACATCTGATAAATTATAAAATCTAAATAATAAATATAGTATTATTACTTCACATTTATTATTGTACAGATTTTTTCATTAAATACTTTTTATGTATGAATTTCTTGTGTTATTTTTTTTATTTCATTAATATTAGAAAAAAGTAGACACCAGTCCATGGTACATAGTCTTTTTAATGGCAATAGAATCTTTGAAATTGTGATATGACTAAATATAATGAATAAATAACAAAATATACCATTTCCACCGTAACAGGATGCCTAAATATTTTTTTTATATGGAAAATCCATGATGGATGGTCAATATTAATTTGTTCTTAGAATTATTTTTTTACATATACATATTTTTGCATATATATATTTATATTTTTCTTTTTGTTTCATGTAATAGTAATAGCGAATGTGAAAATTAATCAGTCAGTAATACTAATTTAAGCCTCTTTTTTCAGAAACAGGATCAATTAAGATTAGCGTACTTATACGCTTAACATATGAATACATGAATTTATTCTTCTTAATTACATATTGTATTGCTTTTCATTCATTTAAACAAATAAGAAATCATTTACAAATAAACATAAATTATTTTCTTTCATATGTATTATGATTAAAACGGAAGACTATCTCAGGTGCTTTGTCAATTTTGCCAACTATTTTTTTTTTCTTTTTTTTTTTTTCATTTTTTTAAGTACTTGCAAGCTGATATCACTTTTTTTTATATAAATTAAATTATGTTACATTTTATATTTATGAAATATATTTTAACAAATAATAAATATGAAAACTGCTTGTATAAAGAAATAAGACAATTTCTTTTTATAGTTTAATTTAAATTTATATTTTTTTTTACATAATCTTCTATATAATTAACAATACTTTACTAATAATAATGTTGGTTTTATTAAAAATAAAATAAAATCAATTACACTTTTTGAATGATTGTACTCACATTTGAAACAATTATAAAGCCTTCATAAACACTGGTATTACGTATTTCATTGACTGTTAATACGTGTCATATTTTTAATAATATTCTAAATTGCAGTTCTTTTATTGACTTAGATATTTACACACTGATAATATCTCAATCTTGCATCACTGTTTACGGTGTTTTTGACAAGTGAACTTTAGAAAATAGAAATTTCAACATTCAAAACTTAGAATATTTTTACATTAGTAAGTTTTGCTAAACTTACGTCACAATTTATATTAAACCATTGTTGTGAATTAGTAACAGTTTTAAATTATTTTTCAGCAATTATCAGGATACATATTAGTAATAGCTAGGAACTTGAAGAAGCATTACCTTCGTCTCTTTAAATATAATACAAATGCCAAATTTTGATATCCGTTTATCATGTTCTATAGGTAAGTTTTAAACAACCCATAGCAGCATTTCGGTTTTGTTAATGAATTATCGCACAGCGGCACTTTCTTTCTCCGAATCACATTAAGATTAAAACCCATTTTATTTATAAAGAAATAGTATACATAAGACAGTAGTATACTCTGTAGCAGAGGTAGAAAAGTAAAATGAAGAAAAAAAGAGAGGAATGATTTTGATAATTACAGTATTTATGGTTTTTGCTTACTTTTCGTTCAACAACTTCTAGTTATAAACGAAATCTTAAAGAAAAATGTTAATAATCTTAATATATAAAAGCATATCTAAATTGCCAACTGTGCACTAGTTTTATACATCTCAGTTTTATTTACAAGCATCTCAGTTTTATTCTTGTCAATAGATACACTTTGGAGAAAGAAATAGCTCACAGTATGTCACAGATTCCTTATAATAAAAGGTAATCTTCGATTATGTGCATTTTTTCTGACACATAATGTCAAATGTGATGACACAGATTAATCCAATTTTCTCAAGCATTTAATAATGCTGAGTTATTACATATGAGTCAAAATAATCGGCTTTTTCAAAATGCCGAATGATAATAATCATAAGTAGGCCAGTAAGGCTGTAGCCAGTCCTAGCTGGTGCGTTGACGCTTTTTGGCAGGATGTTCTTCGGAGGAATGTGCAGGTGCAGGCATCACCATTTCACCACCTCTATTAAACATATATTTCAATTGGGGCATATATTTCATTATATTTTTTACTTGTATTAGTGGTAATTCTTCATTTAAAGATGAACATTTTCCTGCTTCCATTAACATCTTCATTTGTAGTCTTTAAAAAGAAATATTTATGATATATTATAGGATAAGTTAAAAAAGAATATATTTATAATATTTTTTTTTTAAAGCTAAAAATATTCTATACAAATATATGCAAAAAATAACATTTTCTTACCTATTTCCTTGATATAAATCTATATGCAAAACATCTGTAAGGACTTGCCGGCAACTATTAATGTCACAAGCAGGAAAATACTGAGCGACGAAGTCATTAAGTGTCATCAATAATTCAGAATATATATATGGTTTGAAATTAATACAAGGTACCATTTTGTCTTCTACAAGTGCTTTTTGAATTTGATAAGGTTGAACTTGACAGGTTGATACATGTGACTCTGATATTGGAATTAGTGGTTTTCTACCTCTTGAATCCCTAAAAATAATACTTTAATATAATAATAAAATATTATTTATTTATCTCTTTTACATTAAATCAATTTTTATTAAAAATATATTTTAAAAATAAAAATAATAATTTTATACCTGGTACTGTTATTACTACCATTAACTGGTATTAATGGTGGTGGGTATTTTGTATGAGATGTATTATGTACGGATGGTGTATGCCTTTGTGGATGCAACAATGTAGATACAGAAGTAGGTGATGGCATCAGGGCTTGTACTTGTTCACTTAAACCAAGCATTTGGGGATATGTACTTGCTGTAACAGCATTTGGTACACCTAAAGTAGGTGTAGTATATGTTGATGTAACCCTAAAATAGAAACATTTGATGTTAAATCTTAAAAAAAATATACAAATTTAAAAAAACTTTTAAATGTAATTATGTGACTTACAGTACTTAATGAAATTGCAAAATGATTAAAATATGATATTATACAGACAATCTACACACTGTTGAACAGTTTAGAAAACTTAAAAGTATATACTAGTTTAAAAAAATATGAAGAGAAATATGTACATGAGATATTAATCATTATAATTAGATTCCCTACAAAATGTATATACTGATTTATTATATTTATGTATAAAGAGTATAATAAAAAACACCAAAAATTTTTGCATTTTATATAAATTTTATATTATTTTATTCTACTTAATATTTTAAATAAGAAAATAATTAAAATTAGAATTTAATACATTAACAATAAAAACAAAATATAATAAACAAAATAAATAAAAAATAAAAATTAATGATATATATAAGTAATAATGATAAAAAAAATTATTTACATTTTTCTCAATATCTCATTTAATAATATTTTTAAGAAGAAAATTTTAAAGAATTATTGTTGTTGTTGTTGTTGTTATTATTGTTATTATTAATTATTATTAATTTATAAGATAAAAGTAAAAATTTTTTGAAAAATAAATCTTTAGAAAATAAACATAAAAGTATATTTAAAAAATATGAAATAAATAAATAGATACATATATAATAATATATGCATTAAAGTATATATATATAATTATATATATATATATATATATAAAAAATAAAAAAATTAGAAATAGGATATAAGTACTGTTTGAAAAGGCAATATAAGCAATATGTAATTATTGTAAATTTGTATATAAATATATAATATAACAAAAATTTGTTAATTATAATGTTCTTGTGCATGCTATCTTACTTTTGTGTAGTAATCATGACTATAGTACATTTTACAGGGACTCACCAGTCATCCTTCCCATAGGTTGGATAACTATACAAAAAAATCATACGTTGTATGTACAAATGCAAGAAGCTATAGTGCAGGTTTTCCACATAATAAATAATAATTTTTTTGCAAATATAAATATATATGCCAAATAAATAAGTGTTTCCCTAAAATTTAATATGCATGCTCATTTTATTCTATACATCATATTAAGATCACTTTTTTAAATAAAGCTATTTCAAACTTTTCATATGCATTTGTAAACTATATACAATGTGAGTAATAAATACAAAAAATATTTTTATAATAATAATATAAATAGTAATAAAACCAATTTATATTTTAATAATTATGAAATATCTTATATCAAATAATAATTAAAAGATAAATAAATATAAATAAATATAAAATAAATAAATAATTGTCAAATAGAAAATATACATATGTGTATTATATATATATATATATATATATATATATATATATATATATTA